CCAATATCGATCTCCAAAAGAAGAGGAAATGGTCTTCCGGAGTGTAGGCAGCCTGCAAGGAGGGAAAGGAACACCTTTTCGTGGCTGCAGGGGCACCGGTGGTACTCTGGCTCCATTCTACCAGAATATCTGCGAGGTCACTGACATCCCATAAATCTGTATGATTTCCATGCCTCACCTACGTGCAAGTTAATTTTTATGTTATTGTTGCTGAGCAAACGCTTCAAATTTTGCTATTAATCTTCTGTTGTTTCAAATTAAATTCCTAAGTTTTTTTTTGGCTTACTGATGTGATGTTTTCCTGTTGATTTTATTTATCTATTGGTCCCGTCTGAAAAGTATTTCTTCGCAGTCACTTATTATTGTTATCATGGTACTATTACAAATTTAAAGTTAGACCGGGGAAAATGGTTTTCCTGTCTTTTATACGAATGGTAGGAGCCTTGGTAGGCACGCTGACACGATCCTTGTCTTTTTATGGATTTACAAAGACATGGTTTCAAGAATCTCCCCCTTCATACATTACTATGCCTGATTACAAATTGTGCATTCATCCTCCAAAATAAAACTGGAGGGAGATCGGCCATGTTTATTCACAGCTCCTTGACATTTGGTGTCCAAGAGGATCTCATGCCACTTTCTGAGGACTATAAGTGTGTGTTTATCGAAATTGACCGCAATTGTACCCGTAATCTGATTGTTGGAAATGTTTACAGAGCTGGTGGAATTAATCTCGATAATTTTCAACGATCACTTGATTCGTGTCTTCCCCCATGTTACGTAATGGGAGATCTCAATCTGGATATTCTGAAGTGTTTAGATTTGCCCAAAAGATGATTTTATAAGTGCACTTATCACCACTTTCCATTTGTGACTGGCTCCGCAAAAATGGCACTTGGGAAATTGATTTTAAGTGATGCCCACAGGTAGAGAGCAATTTTAATAAGGATTAACTTTGTGTATTTTTGACCTCTGTCGCACATTCTATTCCCGGAATACAGTAAAATTAAGAATTGATCTCTGTCAGACGTACGGAATGGTCTGTTGCATACAGAGGCATAGCATGACTTAAGGGCCTTTTTTGCAGAGTGGGTCACGTTTGTTATCATCCGGAGAGCTGATAATAAGACCAAACAACCCTGAAAAAAAATCAGGCTCTACAAGCCGTTCTCAAGAAATCCATCACCGTGTTTTGGATGTTCATGTTATGCCCCTTTTGTACAAATCAAATATACTGTTTGATAGTTTTGCTTCATTGCAGTCTTGTGTCACTCAGTCGGGTGTCACACAAGTTTAGTCATATACTTTGAGTTACTTATCTTGTGCTGGTCTCAATAATTTATCTTGGTATGTTTATATTTGCCTAATGTCTCAACATTCATCTACAGTTCATATCTTCACATTATCTCTGCGATTTAATTGATTTCATTGCCTTATGGTACATGCGATTGTAATACACTTGCTGCTTATTAGCTTATGTAATAACAATAGCGTTGCTCTTTATCTTTTTTTCTTGATTTTTTGCTTTTGACTAGTCAAATGAGTTTATTTTACACAGTTTCATTTATTTTTTCAACCCCTCGGTGCTTACGTTCATCCCATATTCATTGTAGTTTTGTTTGTCTTATTGTTATTTTGTCACTGTTAGATGTTCTGTTTTACTTTTTGTCAAGGCATCTCCATATTAGCCCTTGGCTTTGGTAGATGCCCCTATAATTGCCAATGACTTCAATGATTCTTGTCCCCCATCTATCAAAGTGTATAATATTAACTACATGTATATTTAATTTATTCTGTTTTAATGTATTGGAAGCTTTCGGCATTGTGGAAATAAATGCTGCCTGGTCGCCTGATTGATTGATCCCCACTGCGTATGGAAGTATTCATATTGTAGTGAAAACGACAGCAGCTGATTAAATATCAATGCTTAAGTGATTTCTAAAGTTAAAACATTATCGAATTCTTGATATTTTCTACAATATATTATAAAGATAACATTGGAAGTTTTGCTCGTGAAATTAAGCATAAACATTATGACTGCATGACCCCTTAAGAAGCATTCATATCAGTTATTTAATTGCGTATGATTAATGTTTTGCTCATATGTTATTCATTTTGCAATTCAGGTTTTTAGAGAAAGGAAGTACCGTTGTGCAATAAGGTGTAAACACGGGAGAATCAGGCTGAAGGAGCGTCCTTAACACACGAAAGAGGTCCGATTCAACGGTGAAATGTGATAGCATTCTGCAAAATGGCTCCATAAAAGCGTGCATGTACTGTAAACATGAAACCCCTGGCTGCAAGCCTTTCCTCAACGTGAAGATTTTCCAGTAATGCTGTCACACGGTTTCTAAAGCAGGCTGTTTCCAAGGAAACAAATCAGTGGCGAAATTAAAAGGCCGAATGATTCCCTAAGAGTATGATAAAGTGTCACCCGACTGTCAACCGCTCAACCAAATGTCGGTAGTGTGAATAATTGAAAACATTTGGAAGACACTAATTTTGGTACGCTGAATCTTCACAATTCTGTGTCTTATTGGTACGCCCGATATTTTTAAAGCGTTTGTCATGACATTGCTGCTTTATTTCTTCGCATGCCTGTAATATTGTTTTTATTTGCTTTTGATGTTTTGTTTTGCTTTGCTTTGTGCCTCTGACCTTTCTGGGGCAGGTGCCAAAGATCACAGCGACAACCAGCAGCACGTTAACTAGAGTACAAAACAGGTGCACGGGGGTGTTACTCGAAGCATACAGATTCAACACGGTCACATGAGTAACGTTTGATGTCGTTGACTAAGAGAGTGATCGTGCCTAAATGTGTCTTCCTTCAAATCAGCCCAAACCGAGACCTGCAGTGTGTCTTTCCGTGACTTTTTTTGTTTTGGAATGGATGTAAATACATTCATTAACAGTACATGTATAAATGTGAAGTGGTCTATGATCTTGTTTTTGCAGTCACTTGAAGTTCGCATGCCAGCGATGGTCCGTTGAGCACCACATTGGGTAAAATATAAACTTTTGGCTCCCCTGTCTCGAGAAATGGGTGATGTGCCTGAATGGAATGTTTAATTTTACAAACTTGCTGTTAAAATTTCTGCAAAGAGTTACTCAAGGCATTTTAAAGGCTCAACTCTTGAAAAGGAACACCGCGATGATATCGAAAAAAAAAATCGAGGGGCAGATTCCACCCAGGCTCTTTAGGGTTAAACTGTTTGCATTTGATACCCACTAAACAATAATGTGTGTAAACAATGTAATGCTCTCTAAGGGCAAAAGATTTAAAAACTCACTCTTTAAAAGAATAAGTCCTTTATAAAACCACTCCAAAAGAGTGAAAACATCTCTAAATAAAGCAAGCAAAAAGACTCTAAAAAGAGTGAAAACTACCCAAAAGAGTAACACTTGTACTCTACTGAGGAGCTATCTGAGGAGGGTTTCACTCTTTGCATCTAGAGTGGACAGTCTAATTCCAACACTTTTTTTTTCAAACGAATTTGACGAACAAGATGTAGCATATTGCTGGGTTCTGTATTGCGCGCTTCCAGCTACGTGTGTCTCTGTTCTTGCCAATAGGTGTGCACACTTCGTTTCTTGACGCCAGTGTTTAAGCAAGAGGGAACTATAGACTCGGAATAAAACATCCTGTGTGACAAGGCTCCTGACTTCGAATACACTGTAGGACGTCGCTATAACGAGCACCGCTTTTCGGGTTCACCGAACATCCCCTTTGGCTCCCAAATTTTCTATGCACTCCTACTGAACATTGCAAATTTGTTTCAAATAAAAGAAATATATTTAGTACTGATGATAACTAATTCGAAATTGGCGAAAACTGCAATCACAACAGAGCAAAGGCCAGTAAATCGCGCGATCTGTTTTTTAAGCGCACTGAACATCACACGGGGCTACACGCACCGGCTGCCGGTATACGCTATGCAGTACTACCAATTCTCATGCGGAAAATATTGCATGATAATTGCTTCCTAAGCCAAACGACTTGGGCTTTAAAAATCACCGAAATATGAATCAAATGTGCAAACACTAGCATGTATTACTTGATTCAACACCTAATCCGACTACCAACCGCTAGGCCTATTCATAAGCGAGGCCTGTTCCACAAAATAGCCAAGCTCTAACTGTGATGCTAATAATATTATCGTATGATGCAATACAGTGGGCAAAACTTATACGTGAGGCTTGTTCGAGTCGTCTGCTTGCAAACTATCGTGACGCTGACTAATCTCACTCATAAGTTTGCCTACTGTATTACATTATACGAAAGTATATTAGCATCACAGCTATTTCAGCCTATTTCGCTGCGCAGGTCTCACTTATAAGAAGCGGTGAGTAGTCGGATCGGGTAGACTCAATGAATTCTTCAATAAATATCTCTCGAATTTCGATCGTTTTCGGAAATGATTGCGTGACATTTTGGTACCGACTTCAGACATTATAGTGCCTTCATTGCTTCTGTATTTGATTGGTACCCGGCGCAGTCCGTTCGTTGAATTACTGCTTTACCAACAGGAACCATTGTAACTGTGCCTATATACATGTCGCATGCAATATTTCAGTGATGACTCATGTCGCGATTTTACAGCCAGGGAGAAATACATGTACATTTAATCCATTGGGGAAACAACAAAGGGTATTAACATACATGTAATAACAAATGCAGTATTTTCTGTTCTCACTTTTTTTACCTTGTGGCCGGCACACGTATGGAAAGGCTTTGGGCCAGAGCTCGGAAAGGGTGGCTGAAAACGCTGTACCTGACAACCGCTATTGAGAACATTTTGTGTGAACTCAGCCGTGTTCGTTATGGCGACATTCCACGGCACTGAGCGTGTTTGTTATTAAATAGGAAAGGTAATATTCTTGCAATACGTTAACTGGTATTTTCGATGGGCCTTCGGTGTTTTGCACTCCCATCAAGGAGGAAATAAACAAGACAGTGGTAACTTTTCTGTTTGCAAGTTTTTTTCCCCTTCATTTTATAGGTAGTGTATGCAGCACCGACTGATGTCCGAGCCACAGTTTTGCATACAGAAAACCAATCTTCTGAGTTAGCAATCTCATTTGCTGTAAGTATTCTACTGAAGGCCATAGACGACAAAGAGTTTTGTACTGTAATATTCTTTGACCTTTCAAGACGTTTGAAAGGCCATCATAATAAGCTCGATCATCAGGAATAACCTTAGGAAGAATAGAGAAAACAATCATTGAATACAACAGTTGTGAAGAGCGGTTAGTTTCTGGCTGTTTTTTCACCAGGCCATGCCTGAGGTCTTCTTTTATTTCTTGTTGCTACGACACCAGGGATTTGTCAGTTTGTCAGTATCTTCATTGTTTTACTGTATGATGAAGACTTTGCAGTGGATATGAGACGGAGGGGATACCCCCTACATGTCCTATCCCTATACACACTCAGGACCATTGTTACCTAACATATCCCTCTTAGAAAAGAATTCCTGAGATTCCGGTCAAGCAATGACCAGCACGGGGGGGGGAGGGATTCTCTCCGTCCCATTCTTGCTTCAAATGTTTTTGTTTCTTCTTTGGAGCAGGAATAATGCATAATGCATGATGGACCTTTTTCTTTTCCATTTTGCCTCCATAAATTTTATCCGGTTTCCCCTGAAAACGCCATAAGAGAGTAAGCAATGTATTTAATGAAGTCGGCAAATGTAAAGTACTTAAAGGTTATTAACTGTTTGCGCTCATGTCTCTTCATTGTTGTCAGAGTCCACCTGATGAGGCGCTTCCCTATACCGATTTAAATGCAACATATGTTTCAGAAACTGTCTCTCTTTTTTCGGTAACCACGGGGGTGGCTGGTTTGCAAGTATTCGCAGGTATTTACTGTTCACTGACGTCTACAAACACAGCAATTTTTATCAACATCTGGAGACCTCAGGTCAAAAAGTGAGTTGATCTGATACGGAATAACCCATACCAAAAATACCAGCGCCCGTTAACGCTGTGATATTCAAAGCAAAACGTAGTTTCCGATGATTGGCAACCATAGTTAAAAAAAAAGAATAAAGATTGTATTTGTTCCTTTTTGTCTGGCGGAAATATTTCACCATTTGACCGAGGCTGTTATTTATTCTCTTTTAAGTTAGATATTTAAGGATTATTCGGCAGTACGTTTTTGAGATTTTAGCGTGTGTGTATCCTACCTTTAAAGATTCTGAGATGGCTTTGGTAGTTTCGGATTGTAATCAAAGCGCGGCATACAGCGACTGAAGCAATGTTGTTCATACTACAGCCGATACAAATGACAAGCACGAAGGCTTGGAATGCGAAGAAATGTTTAGGAACGATCAGCTTTTCTCTGTTTTTGCTCAATAAAGCCAGGATGAAGATCGGCATACAGAGATATACGAAGATGTCCCCAACAGCCAGGTTTACCACGAACACGTTGGTGGACATGCGAGGTTTACGGGAGACAACCGCGGCCAACGAGACAACGCTGCTGCCAATTATACCAACGAGTGACGTGGCTTAACAAGGCTATGCAAGCTGTTCCGACCCCTTGACTGCACCAGTTGCGTGTTCTGCGGACGGGGGATATGTTGTCAGTTCTTTGCTGAAAGGGAGATAGCACTATTGCTTTTTGGCTGAGATTTCTGCTTTAGGGGTTTAAAATAAGTATAGTTAACAGCTCTGAGGGAAACTGGCCTTTCAACATTCATTTATCTTGTAATTGATCTTACGCAAAAGCTATGAAATACAGGGCATTCTTGGGTGAACAAATAATGTACTCACTTGGCCTGTCTGCAGAGCATTTTTCCACGGTAAAGAGTAATCAGTAAATTTACCTCTAAGAAGTGTGCCTTTTGGACAATGCAGCACCTTGGATTCCACTGGGGAAAAGTCTTGGAGCAGTATCAAACGTTACTGCAGTCGCCTCGTGTCCGTGACGTGACACTGGTAACCCTATGATACATGTGCGTGGAAGATTTTACTTCTAAAATACGTCTTCTTACTTCTTACGTCTAAAATCCACTCTTACTTTCCTGGCCCAGAGCACATTGTATCTGGAAACACGGGGGTTAACGTCTGGAAACCATAATATTTGTTGACAAAAATCCGCTCGCGCTGCACTGAGCTGAGAACGGCTGCTGTGATGCTTCGGGGTTGATAGTGAGGTCTCAACGTTTTTCTGTAAAGAAAATCTCATTTTGTAGACGCAAGTTGACTTCGAACTGATCTAATTTCTTTTTAATTTATATCTTATACTGTTTTTTCCCTCTGGTTTCAATTATTAATGCCTTTTGAAAGCTTCCGCCGGTGTGGTTGTGCTGCTTTTAGAATTACCCGTTTATGATGACTCCTTCCATCTGTGCACACCACAGAAAAAAATCTGCCTGTTAACGGATGAACTATTCAGAATGAAAACGAAAGGAAAAGAACAACTACTGCATTCTGGGCAGAAAAATTGTACTAATTGACTGAGGCTCATATTTACTTTTTTTCAAGAAAGATATTCAAGGATACAACTTCCACAATTCTACACCTTTTATCGTGCAATGCGTCTCTATTCTATTCAGTTTCTATTTCATTTTTGCAAATGTTGTAAATGCTTGCTTGTTTGCGTTTTGAACGTAAAAACGTTCTTCTGCAGAATTAATAAATTGGGTTAAATGAAGTAAAATGTAGAATTTGGACTTTATCGATGGAACGACTGTGCACTGTCATCAGAATTGTCTCAAACTATTGGTGCGTTTACTTTCACAGTAACCGTCAGAACAAGAACTGAGTAATCACCCATCTATATGCATTGATGATAGTACTTTATCGATTGATAGGCTGTGGTCCGTTTAGGGGAGTCCTCTCTGGTAGAAATCAAGCACTTGATGTAAATACGTATGTAAATAGAGTTAAGCAAAGCAACGCAGAGCTCTGGTAGAGGCGCCCACATTTGAGGTATGGAGCAGATTCTCAAATTGCTGCAAACAATCGTGGACGTTGAGCAGGATGTTTGCCGCCACCAAGTGTCCCAGATGTCTCACACGCTATCCAATATTTTGCGAGAATGTACCTTTATAAGATATTCTCTACATTGAATCAACTCTCCTTAGTGTCTTGGGTGTCAAACCTTTGAGTGTTGTCCTGATGCACGTAACGCCTCAAGCGACGCAATGGCATTTGCTAATACTACGATGCATCTAACGGAAAATGTCAAAACATCTATCCCGAGAAACGAAAAAAGAAACAACCTGAAGCAGCCATGACGGTCTCCATGGACAAAAGCGCGATTCCCTGTGCTAGGAAAGCTAGAGGGATCTTTGGAATCTTATTGCTCCTTTCGGTCATCTCAAGTTGGGTAAATCAGACAGTTTTATTACGAAAATCTTATGGTGTTTTTAATGTGATCTGAAGTTACTCCTTTTGCCTCATGCCTCCAGCTCTGTTCCGTGTCACCGAAGACTCGCAAGACAAAGTGAAGGTCACTGTCCTAGGTGAGTTAATCTTGACTTTATATGCATCGAAACAATAAATTACAATTGTGGCACATTTTCCTTTTCTACAAAGATTGTTTGAACTTTTGTTCTCTTTCTGATGTGCACATGTCTGCTGTTTGCAGACACTTGACAAAATACATTTTCGCTTTGTAGCAGATTTGAAAGAGCATTTACAACATAAGTCTTTACCTTTTTCGTTCTGTCAGTGCGTTGTGATAATAATATTTAAGTAAATTTTGGAATTTCAGATTGTTGTATATGGGATCCGATACGACTACTTAAAGTCAAAAACAATTAAAAAGACAGGACTTCATTTACCGGGTCTATTGACAAGAAAGATACGGTTTCCAATGGACACATTACTCAACAGTTATCGTTTCCATTTGCTTTAAAAACAGGTTTTTCTACTCCAAAATGCCTTCGGCAGATGTTAATAAGTTTTATTGTCTTATCACAGAGCTCATCTGATTGATAACAGTGCACAGATAGCAACACTGGCGATTCCAAAGAGTAGCTCACCTTTGTAGGCTGCACACGGCACAATCATGATTGAAATATAAGTCGTAATTTTCGCATTTCATTACGCAGACAACACAACCATTATATCACCCTCTCGTCCACAGTTTAGAAATTAGATCCTGGAACAAACATGACAGTACTGATGACTTACAGAAACTAAACCACCACCTATCGTTAAACTGTATTCATTTGATGTAAAATAAAGACCAACTCAATGGGCAAGACTGCGATTATTTTGCTATCCTAAATGGTAAGTGTAGATCGCTGATGGACAAACTGGATTAACTTTTAGAATCCGATTTACTTAGAAACAGCAGTGTTGCCGAGCTGTTAAAGTTCAAGCCCTTCAGGGTAGTGGCTTACTGATCCCCACGAGTAAACGGATAATGGATGGCACGAGTGGTAACGTGGCGCCACTACCACTATATAAGGACTTTTCAGAGCCAAACTAGGTTGGCAAAGCAATGTTTTTGAGCCATTCCGTGTAACTTATATAATCCACTCTGCCTCATAAGGTGTAGAAATTTATCTTTATTGATAGGGTTTAATTTTTTCTCCTTTGTCTGGATCAGAATAAATCAACTTAAATCCAGCTAATGCTTCTTGTCATGGTCTCAGATGTTCAACTCCTTTTCACGCGCACGAGGGTGAACTTGATCACCCTAGGTCGCAATAGGGAGCCACTTCCCAACACATTTATTGTTGTGCGACTTCTCATTTCAGTCATGGGGCTAGTGCTAAACGTTAACAAAATTCGACATATCTGAAGTACGTAAAGTGGTTGTTTAGTTTCCTAGAACTGGAAACGACAAATGGTTTCATACTGCATGATTGAGACCGAGTAACACTTGAGATTATTATACTCCCCTTTCATCTGCATAAGATAGACTGTGGAGAAAAAACTCTTTGAAAATAAACAAGGATGGTCATATAAGACCCAGAGCGTTTATCAGAGAAGGGGCTTTGTTAATATTTGTAACTTTTCAGACCTTTCAGTTTTGAAACCGAACACAATTCTTCTCATTACTGAATACCAACAGAAACTGAAAAATTGGAAAGAAAATACAAAACGGAAAAAAGACAGATGGGGAGCAAATAGATATTGCAGAGAATTGGGTGCTAATTTGGGTTCGTTAAACCATTAATAAAAAGACAATCTTTCTTCAGATAATTGACTGAATCATTTTTTTTAAAATAAAGACACAATGAAATAAAGTATTTAGTTTCACTTTCATTTCCTCTTCCCAGGGATACCTATCAATCCTGAGGTTTGTCTCATAACGTATTTACTGCACGGACTTGGCACAGGCACTATATCTTTTCAATCATGAACTAGTTGTACAGGATGGTCGTTATAAGTTTGCTCGATGATGCCACGTTTCGTACTTTCGAACTTCTAGCTGTGACCTGTGTATAGTCCATACTCGATTTTATACTGTACTTTCACTCCGAACTAAAATTGATTAAAAAAGGAAAAAAAAAACGTTGTCAGTCTCAAAACCCACAGGTTCTTCGGGGTGGAGGATTTTATATATTAGGTATTCATTATATTCTTAAAGGGTACTTGAAATAAAAAGCTCTGTCGAGAAATATCGAGAAAAAATTTGTAAGAGTTAATAAGTTAATAATGGACGAACCATTGCACAAACTCTACAGTTTAATTTCTACCCTACAAACATCAACCCTAAAAGGGAAAACAATAATTATTTAGCATGCCCCGGCCCACACACACACACACACACACACACACACAAACTTTTGGCCGCGGGCCACAGATAAGGTGATGATGTCATCGGCTGAACAAAATAGCTCACTGATCGCACGTCTGGATTTGTGTATCGTTGAAATTGTGAACCCACAGACTCACACAGGACGGTTGCTTTGAAATAAATAAAAATGTTCCTTAATGTTTATTTGTGGTGATCGCAAGTATGTTACTAAATGTGAAATCCAAAGGCAACGATCACTAAAAATGGGTTAAATCTTGTATGAATTTCTTACTTGATCCTAGCCTTCCTAGAAACGGTTGTTACTGTGGTGCAGGTAGAGGACGCGAAGCTGGACTGCAACGTGCAACGGAGCTGTAATTGATAGCAGGATGAATGTGCTGTACCTCGGGGACTGTCCTGACATCGATTGGCCCAAAAATAATCTCAGTATTGCCAACTGCTCAAATACTGAAAGTGCGTGGAGAGGCCCATACGAACTTAACAACGCAAGTGGGGCATTAACATTCCCATTATTTCAATGTCACTGAATGGCACAACATTTACCTGTCACATGTCCTCTGAACGAGGAATTAGTTGCATTGACTTGCTATTCATCGTCTTCCGCAGTAATTGAAGATGATGCCAAGTTTTTGTGTTTGGTTTTGATTAGAGTTAATCCAAGCTGTCTTTTGTCTATTGGACAAGGATAATGAAAAAAAAATCGAATATGGTTTCCTTTCCTGCCATGTCATAACAGTTTATTTTTGCTTATCTCTGTGGTTTTCCCTTCGGGGTTGTGTTGTAGTGTCGTTTTTCAGTGAATAGCAAAATCGAGGGGAGGGTAATCTGTAGCACGTAGGTAACGCTTGGACAGAGACAAATAAAAACCACGGAATTGGAAATGTTCAGATTAGGAAGGTAAAACAAAGGGTACAGATTATTTTCGTAGAATTCAACTCAGGAACAGTAACTGTATAACTGTGAATACATTGACACTGGATACAAAACCCCATTGTCTTGATTGACGGGTGGCTCAAGCGAGGAAATACCTAAAACATGTCCTGACGTGGTTCTTTGTTGTGTGACATTGACATTTTGTGACGTTGTATTCAGGAATTGAATTAGCTGAGGCAATTCCCATGTTGAATGGAATACGAGGTGAATGTGTTACCCTAGAGGTTGCTCCGTCAAAAATATTTCCCTAGGCAACAAATATTCACAAGATGCGTCTAGTATATGTTTATGTATATGAAAATGCAAAGGCCTTATAGTCCTGTGAAGTACAGTTTTTCAAAACTTATTTTTAAGGTTCTTTTATGAGATTTTTGAAGAAGAAAAATGTGTTATTTCCAGACTTGTGTTATGTGTATATTTTATGAAAGAGTGACATCTATGAGATGTGTTTGGGAAATAAGAATTTGTTGCAGGTGTTGGCTTCAAGGTCCTTTAATACAATCAACACAAATGGCACACACTCATTATAGATCCCTTATGAACAAACATTTGAAAGAATTGTATCGTGTGAAAAAAGTAGAAACAACGTTTCTTTTAAATACTGAAAAGTAACAATGAACCTGAAAATAACTCTCATAGTAACGAACTTTGAAAAAAAATGTATACTGGTTCTTCACTTTTTGAAAGTACAGACTATGTACTTTTTTTGCAAGAGTGGGCTTCGTAAATAAAGACATGTTGGTACCAGTTTGTGCATACAGTCCCATCCCTTCAGGCAATACGGACTAATGAGATTAGCAGTTGGTGTCCTTTTACAATAAATATTCTTTTTATTTGTTTTGGTTTAAACAGAAATTAAAGTTTGTAAATTTTGAGGAGGTCACTCTAGTCAAAATAAGTTACACACTTCCTATTGATACACCGAATACTCTCACTCATCCAACTGATGGCTTCCTGTTGCTGTTCATTTCCATTTCTGTTCTTTCTGAGTAATTGTTCGTGTTGTCCATTCTACTTGGTGTTTGTCGTTGTGTCTTGATTCCAGTTGCATTATTTCTTTGCAGTCCCACCGTGATCATCGACAACAGCACGGACATTGTTTGTGTCAAATGGGAACATCATAGCGAACAGGGGTCACGTTTTCATCTGCCTTGTCACCAGACCGCTGGCAGAAATCACCCTGGCGCTCGATGAAAAGCGAGAAGAGCAGTGTTGTTCGATACTAGCTTACCAGCAGCCCGATCACTGTGCCGCCTTTGCTGAATGGACAGCGAGAGAAACCCACTTGCACAGCCACCGATTCTGGACGAAGTTTCTCTAGCTATACGACAACATGGTTGATAGGGCAACTTCAGATAGTACCTGAGTCAATAATTTTTTTAATTTCTTCATTAACAGATGGGATTTGAAGGTCTGCATTATGCAGGGATTGACAGGGAGTTGCTTATGTTAGTACCATGTATGATATATTTCCGTTGTGAGGTTCTGAAAGAAACCAGTGGACTGAATATTTTGGGAGTATGCTTTGCTGTTGTCAGAAAGATCAGTACATTGTACAAAAAGTTGAAATCCTGTGCGCCCATCGGTTCGTTCCAGAACTTACGTCACAATAGCGACACTTCTTACACAGTGATACTACAAGCTACTTACCAATGTTTGTTATCGTCTGAATCTCCGAGCATTGCTGCCCTTACTTTTAGAATGACACAAGTAGAAAGTGAATGTTCACTTTGCTACATTATGCATGAGGTTATTGTTGCGTGTCCATTTAATTGTCTTTCTCCAGTGTAAATAAAATGGCAATAAAGGAAAAAC